CAGTGCCTACTGACCTTGTCATTGAGTGAATGTCCCCTAAACTCTCAGCACCACAAGGCCCAGGAGGGTGTATTATTAGATTATATTAAATTTTTCACTCTTTGAATATGGACGAACACACAAGTAATGAATTAAAATTTGTAGAATGAAAGAATGTTTCGTAAGTACTTTTTAATGCTTTATAAAGATGAGAGTGTTAGTGTTAAGCCTTTTCATACATAAGCCTCCTATAGCCTTACAATCATTATTTTGGTTCATAATTTTTATTTAGTTTGATCTCAGGACATTTGGATCTTGAAATCTTTTTTTACCTTCAAAGGGAAAATTTATGGTCTGCACTACATACAAAATCATGGAACTTTATTTCCTTAGTTTGCATAGCTTTCCTCTAAAGTCTGACAATATATTTTGTAGATTGTATGTTCCTTAACATTTTTTCATCTGTCTCATCCTCTCCATCCCACTGCCCCCATCTCTGTTTAGATACTTCTCATCCATCCCAGAAACACTGTTGGGCAATTGGTCTCATGTTTCCTATGCATGTTGCCAGCATATTTTCTGATAAGTTGCTTTCTTCCTGCTTCTCTTGGATGAAAAGCCCCTTCATGGTGTTCTGCCAAATCTACTCCAATCGCTAGTTTGACTCCCAGAGCCTTCCACAGCCCACACTCTAAATGTGGCCATAAAATGCCATCAAATAGAGAATCGAAATCAGGTCCTAGTAAATTGAACTTTTATCTCAGCCGGTGTTGTTCAGTGGTTGAGCACTGACCTATGAAACAGGAAGTCATGGTTGGATTATGGTCAGGGCACATGCCCGGGTTGCAGGCTCAATTCCCAGTGTGGGTCGTGCAGAGGCGGTCAATCAATGATTTTTTCTCATCATTGATGTTTCTAACTCTCTCTCCCTCTCCCTTCCACTCTGAAAGCAGTAAAAATATATTTGTTTAAAAAAAAGAGAAATTTTGCTGACAGATTATAACTTGGGTATAACTGGTACATATCCTCCCCACAGCTGATTTTGATAATAGGCTGGGAGAGTCAGGGTGCTCCATCAGTAGTCAGGGGGGCTCATTGGAAGTGAAGGTCAAAGATGCAGGACTGCCCAGGTACCAGTTCTCTTTGTCCTCTAGTCTCAGTTCCCCAAACACTGACCAGCCCACTTACCTTTTCAAAGGCTGGGAAATAACGATTTGTTGTTTTCTCTCTGATCTGGGTCATCTTGGCATCTTTTTCATGGGGTGGGCATAGTGGCAAATGCAGGATCATTTCATTCAAATCTGCCATACCTTCTGAATACATATCAATCCTGAAAGACAACCAGTGCATATTCCAGGAGATATGTTTTTAGTGTGCCTCACTGGGCTTCCTATAAGAGGTTTTCCTTTTTAAAAATGACCCAATTGTCAACTGTCACCTGCCTTACACGTTATAATTTAAAAATGTAAGAGAATGGAGAAACAGGAGAGGGCAACTCTACTGGGTGCATTTTTATATGCCAGTCATTCAGCTGTGATATTCACCAAATTTTAACATTTAATATCAAGGTGGAAATCTACGTCTAAAATTTTTGTTATGCCCATGACCAAATATACTGACAGAGAACACAGTGAGGGTTTCCAGAGTCACAGGCGTAGAGAAATGGTGGAGTCATTGCAGGTACCCAGTGAGATGCTACCTAGGGTTTGCCATCTCTGTTGTGGTTGGTTCTGGGCACAAACTCCATGTGATCCATAAGGCTAAAGGCTGAAAAGAAATGTTCTTGACACTTCATCTGAATGACATCATACAACATGAGCCTTTGATGTCTGGTTTCTTTTATGCAACGTAATGTTTTCAAGGCTTATCCACTGTCATTCCTTTTCATGGCCAAATAATATTACATTCTATGGATACACAAAACTTTGCTCATCCATTCATCAGTTGATGAACACTTTTGTCATTTCCCCTTTTTGAATATTATGAACAATGGTATTATGAACATTTTTGTACAAGTCTGAGTGTATTTTTTATTCTTCTGGGTACATGCATGCTTAGTAGTGGAGGTGCTGACATGGTAA